CAAATGTTTCTTGGATTCATCTACCTCGGCAACACAACCGCGTTCAACGCTATTCTGTCCATGGCTATCATCGGGATGTACCTTAGCTACATCATCCCCATCGTGTACATGCTGGTGCACGGCAGGAAGAACTTGAGCCGTTCCGACTTCGGCCCCTTCAAGCTTGGTCCCGTCTTGGGCCCCATCTTGAATGTCATCAGTCTGATCTGGATGACTGTGGTGATCATCTTCAGCACCTTCCCCTCGGCGATGCCCGTTACCCCGCAGAACATGAACTATTCGATTGTTGTAATGGCTGGGTGGCTGACCTTTGGCGTGGTCTACTACATCTTATTTGGGCGGAAGAAGTTCGAGGTACCCGCCGTTGATAACGTTGTGACTGGCGTCTCCGTTCATACGGAAGTTGTAGTTTAGAAATATGCGAGAAGGAATAGTTGGAATTTGAAAAGACGGAAATCGATGGAACCTTAGGTCTCTCATGATTGTGTATCAAATTAGTCCCTGAAACCTCCGTGAGATCTCTTCCGGATCTCCAAGTGACATCCCCTGATCATTCCCTCCAAAGAAGCCGACAGGAAAGTCAGAAGGCGCCGGGTGCCCAGAACTCGCTTGCCCGAAAGCGTCGAAGAGGTTCATGAGGTCATTGCCCATGTTGAACATGTCCGGCATAGAGCTTGCTGTCGGCGGGCCAGCCTCGTATGCATCCCACGTGGCTTCCGTCCGCCTCCCATCGCGCTCGCTTTGACCGACAGTCTGCTCCGATCCGTCGGCATGGCCCTCATTCCGATCTGTCTCCCCATTGTCGACTAGCTGGGGTACGTCGCCCTTCTCAGGGTCACTGCGCAGGCCCAATGACTTAATGCTCGGCATGAGCCCTCGAATCGTCTTCCACAGCCTCCGACTGGCATGCCCGTGGCGAGAGAAGCCCTTCACCAGCTGTACAGCTTTCAAAAACTTCTCCTTGCAAGGTTCAGTAAAGACACCCGGTGCGTGACACACAGCCAGGAGGATCACCGCCAAGGCGCTCATCAAGAAGTAGTTGAAAGCGTGCTGCTGCCGCGCATAGATGTCGCTCGTCTCGTTCAAGTGGACAAGTACTTGTATCGTGTCGAGAGCAATCTCGGTGACGAGCTTCGCGCTCTGCATGTCTGCTTTGATACTGGCGGTGCTCAGAACGTGGTGGCGGTGGATGAGCGTGCGCATGTGGTTCCCTCGCAGGTAGAGCAGAGTACGGAGGCGATGCACGCTGCGGGGCTGGATCCTGGGAGCAAGGCCTAGCCTTGGGTGCCGAAGCTGCAAATCTTCCGGTATCGAATTGAGCCAGTTCAGTGTCATGAAGTCGAGGAACGCCACCGTATCCTTGGGAATGAATTGTGATGGTGACTCGAAGGGCGGCAGCGCCTCCCAGACTTTCGAACACAGCCTGCCATAGGCAACCATGCACCTCAGGTAAGGATACTCGTCCCCCTTGATCGACCATAGTCAGTACCTTTGTCTGCAAGAAAGATTGATCAAACAATGGGGGAACTTACCGGCTCTGGTAACTCAGGATCGATGTCACGATCGATGAGCCCAAAAGACAGACTCGTGCCGAAGCTCCATCGGCGATCTAGTACGTAGACACACCAGAAGCATCGCAGAGCTAGGTCCCTCTCTTTGGGATCCTTGAAGTTCTCGAGGAGGATCGCGCGACGATGAAGACCGATTTCCAATACTTCCCGCCCAGAGATGCCGATCGATCTCCATGCCAGTAACTCCTCGCCGCAGTGGAACCAGTAGATGCTCTGATGTTGAGTCAGCAAAGGATTGAAGGCCCCGGTGGCCACTTGAACCAGGTCGCAGGAGACGCAGAACTCACTAGCATGGTCATGATCTGGAGCTCTTTCAGGTCGATAAAGGCTTCGCCAGACACACGGCACACGATCGGCTCCACCGCATCTACCAGCTTCGTACTTATGGCATTCTGGCCTTGAGCCTCCATCACTATAGAGGTAGCAATCGCTACTTTGACAATCTGGACATCCTTGAGCTCAATTTTTGGTCGATCCCCGGCAGAGATCGAGTCTGCGCCCGCCGTCGGGTTCTGCTGGGCTCTCACAAAGTCGAGGATATGCGGCAAGTTGGCAGAGACATCGTTCATATTGGTGAATGGGTACACAGACTCAACGTCATCCTGATAGACATCAAGGAGCCGAAAAACCTCGTCAGCCTCGAACGTCAGAAGACAATCCAGATCCTTTTGCGATGCCGAATGCGAGGCGGGGTGGTCTGAGGTTTCGGAAACCGCCTCCGCAGAGGCGGCCGGCGATGCGGATCTGCTCGTTGGCGACGCATCGCGCGTCTGGATGTGCACGCGGGAGAGCGAGGACTCCGCGATGCGAAGGCTAAAGGCTGACCTGGTAGGACCGACGAACTGCGGTTCTCTCGGTTCGCTTGGCCTCCGGTTGGATTCGCTCGTGTACAGAGGACTTGGATGTTGCGGACCGCCGAGGGCGGCGGGCGACCGGGTGTTGATCTGTGTGATCTTTCCGGTGAGCTCTCGGAGGGACGAGGTTAGGCTGGCGACCTGCTCTCGCAGAGTTGCCACCTCGTCGCTCAGGTTCTTGTATTGTGAGCTGTCACGACCATTAGTCTCCTGGATTGGTGGTCGGTACATGGGAGTGCTTCATACGGATTGATGGATTCATCTCTCTCGTTGGTGGCCTCGCGATCTCTCAGCGGCGTCTGCTGCGGGCCAGGAATGAAGATACATTCGGCGCCATTGGAGAGACATCGCCGGCACACGGCCTGGTGATCTTCCTTAATACACTTGAGCTTCCGCTTCTTGCACTCATTGCTTTTTCCCGGTCAAACTCTGTCAGCGACATGTCTTTCCGACGCGATGGTCACCTCACCGACGGTGTGGGTTGAATGTCTTTCCTTACCAGGCGACGGGGGTGTACTTGGCCCTCTTGGACCGCTGCACTTCGGCAGATGCAGACACAGGGGCAGGACGCTTCTGCACCGATGCGGATCCCGCGGCCGTCGACGACGGCGGCGTCACGGCCTCCGTCACACCAGCGTCCGGGCCCATGTCTGTGGTCTTCGCTTACTGCTGTCGCAGCCCGGGGGAGCGCGGGTTGCAGATCCGCGGAACAGGTGAGGTTAATCGGAATCGGTGGGGTGGGTGAGAGATTGATGTGAAGGAATGGTTCCGAGTTTCTCCAAGAGAGGGAGGGGGAGGCGTTCCGGCAGTTATTAGTAAAGAACCGCCCGCGCCCCCCTTATCAGTTCGTCGCAGGCTGCGGCCTGCGATTCATGGTCTAAACCCACTAGGACCCTGATAACGCGGAATTGGAAATCATTCCCGTTAACAATAAGCCTGCTTTATTCACCTTACCCAGCACTACTTCGGCATTCGGTTCGCAAAATGCATCCGACATTCAATTGGTAAACGTTTCCAAGCAAGGCGATCATTTGGGTTGATGAGAGTATCAGCTGATGTGCAGGCACGCAGTTGCATGTTCCATTTACCTTGAGACCACCGGCGATTTGAGAGGGGGAAAAGCGACAGGAAGATAACTCCCTTCCTTCGACAAGAGCACTGGATGGGATTTGAAAGAACTTCGATTCTGTCATCGGGCCCCCGAAGTCTATTTTCTCTACTTCGTCAAAGTATTCAACCACTCATAGGTCTTGGGTTCTGAAAAGCAAAACTCTAAACTCGAGCCGTTGACAGAAACACGGCAAGTCTCGTCCATCAACACCACATGCTGCACCCCACTACTGCATCGCAAGTATGGAAGTATTCATCGTCATGAAGTCCGAAGTTTCAATGCTTAGTCACTCGCCAAGGGGCATCGGTAGCAACTCTGCTGAGTCTAGCCTTGACTCCTCTTCTCAAGCGGGACACCGGTACGCAAAGCCAGACCATCTGGTGGTAGTGTTCCTCTACTTACCCATTCACACTTGATGTCTCTTTCTTCTGTACCGCTTTACCTCACATGAGGTGTCAAGCTCATCGCGCAGTCACTGCTGTTCAGCCTCAACATTAAACTTCCTTGCCAATGAGTAATTCAAGAGGCAGATTTGGAGTTCCTAGACATTATTTTCGAGACTCTTGAGCGACTCGAGAGATCGAAGATCGAGCTAAATTTCAAGCCAGAAATGACAATGCCTTGATGCAGGACTGGGTCTCGTCTAGTCACAAATTCTTCGCTCGCAAACCGCGTCGCAGACCACGGAGAATGGGATACTGGAACATGGAGATATCTTATGTCACTCCATCAAAGACGAGCGTATCTACAAAGTTCAAGCACGATCAAGCTGGCCAAGGTTCCTCATCCCATCGTTATCGTTCACGACAGTCTCTCAGCTTTATTGGGCTTTCAAGAGATAGGAATTTCTCTTGCCAGACATCTCGCTCCGAGTGGACTGTTTGCTGGACGTCTCCCACGGAAAAGCCTGCTCATTCCACCAGCGAGCAGTTAGGCATTCAAGACATAGCACCACCACATACAACTCATTAATCTTTCCTCGAAGACACCAGTAACCTCCGATGGGCCAGATCCAAGCAGGAATGCCATCTCTCCAGGATTCCGAAAACACCAACAGCAAAGTCCGAGTACCGTCTTTCAGGCACCGCGATCCAACGTTGGTCTCACAAGCTCAGCCCATATCCAATAGCTATAGAGATCAGACGAAACACAGGCTTGGTGTCCAAGTGATAGACTCTGCATACTAGGTAGGTATCCTAGCCTACCATAGTAGTAGCGGTGTTGGTCAACACACGACTATGGCCAAGTATTGTTTATTCCTGGTTTTACCTATCTAAATCAAACTGTTTTGTCCAGATCCGACCTCCCGCAGTACTGAGAGAACACAGAACAAGTCGTCACGAACGGCCTCCAACGTTCCACCACTAGCTCTTGAGGGGAAGGCCCACGCCTCCCTGCCATGTACATATTAGCCAGGTCACAACAATGATCAGTGAGCAAGCGAGGGCACGTGGTAAAAACGGATCATGAGGTGAAAGGTGATGAACACCTAGTTTGCTTGTTTCGTGCTATACACTCAAGTGGGACATTTGCCACATGTCCTCCGTATTCCTGAACCCATCCAACGCAAGCGCGTGCTGTGCGTCTTGAACCTAACCTGCCATCCAACCCATGTATATACATGTCTACGGGACGAAGCCTTTCGTCTTCCCAGAAAGCGTGAACAGCCTTTCCCAAGTCCCCAACACCTTGCAAGAAATAACAGTATTGTGAATTCCAGAAATAAAAGGAAGAAAACTCTCCTTGCGGAGAGGGAGACAACGCCTGTGTACCATATCGGGATCGGGGGAGCGACGGTTGCCATTCCGCTCGCCTCCCACCACCCCTTTTGATCCATCCGCTGGAAACTGTTTTAGTCGTCCAGAAACGTGGCCGTTTGTGTGTGTGTGTGTGTGTGTATATACAACAATGATTCCAAGGCCTCGGTTGCACCACCGAAAGGCATTCGGCTCTTGAGGCGCGAAATGCTGTCACCGCATTCCACTGAGCCATTGTGAAACGTATCTCGACCCGACCGGTTGAGAGAGATATAAATAGAGATAGGTCGATATCGAGGAAAGTCCGGAAGTGACTCAGAACCGAAAAGACGGAGCATAGAAATAAATCCGTCTGCGCGGGTGTGACCCAGCGAGCGTCTCCACTCGGCCGACGACACCGAGCAGCCGTGGTGGTATTGATCATGATGTCATGACAAAATTGTCAATGAAAGGAAAACCGTTCTCACTTTTTTTTCGTGATTTCTTTTTTCTTGGTCGACCCTGCGGAGGTCGCGTGGTGGAGGGCGATGTTGGGCAGAGCCGCGTCATGCAGATGATCAACTGAAAGTCGGCCCAATGAACGCCTGAGCGCGGCCCAACTGCCTCAGATCTCAACCCCAATCACGATTTGCGGGAAAAAGTGCGACTTGAGTGACACGATTGTGTGAAATATTCCGAAATTAAGAAAAAATTAAATCCGTGAGAATTCAACAACGATCCCAGTTAGTCTTTAGTAGGCGGTGTAGCCTTCAAAGCCCTCCGCGGCAAGCGGGTCCTGGTGGTAGTTGGTGGGTGTGACAGTGTTTGACGACGAGATGGAAAAGGCCGTCTCGTGCGACAAACCGTTGTTCATTGGCGAGTTCTGACCAAACGGGGAGAAGGCAAAGGCTTCCGACGCGGAGGAGAGCGGCATGTTGGAAACAGCCAGGTACGAGGCCTGGGTAGTGTCGATCGCCGCCAACTCAGGCATGTGGTAGGACGGCGGGAAACCCATGTCGTAGGTCATGTTCTCGCCCATGTGGCCAAGAGACAGGTCCATCGACATGGAGGGTTCGAACTGTTGGGCAGTGGCCTGAGTCTCCTCCTCATCTTCCTCTTGGGCCTCGCACTCGGCAACCTCGTCGTCGGCAGCCACAAACACCTCTTCCATCCACTGCTTGAGCTCGTTCATGGGGGGCCAGTCGCCACCGCCCTTACCACCGCGCTTCTCCTCGTCGTCACCCCGCTTGTTCTTGCCACGGGGAGTCTTGGGCTTGAAATGCGTGCGGCGGAGATGGGCAGCGGCGTTGTAGTAAGCGCCGTATTGCTTGCGGGCGACGCACTGCTTGCACTTGGAGAGCGGGTTGATAGCCTGAACGCCACTTTGCATGCCGACCGTGCTGGGGTCGCGGCATACAAACTTCTTGACGATGCCCTCGTGCTTAGCGTTGATGTGTCGGCGCAACTCGTGGTCGCCGCGGAAGCCATCGGGGTGATCGCTGCACATGTCGCAGAACACCTTGGGGTGCTTGGGACGGGTGTAGCTACCCTTAGAGACAGCAACCTTGCCTTCCTTCTTAGTAGAAGCTGACTGGGACTTGACAGCGTCGTGAGGCTTGGGGCAGATCTTTGTGCGGTTCGCATTCTGAATCTGCTGGAGGCGTGCTTCTTTTGCCCTGCGCTCGGTGCTTGACTTGGTGGATGCGTTGCTAGTGGCGGAAATAGAGCGCTCCATCATCGAGGAGCCTTGGCTGAGGAACTGCTCATCAATGGGCGACTGCTGAGGATATTGAGGCGACAGGCTAGTGCCAGCGCCGACGTAGGCGAGGTAATCTGACTTATTCGGTGACGTGCCGGAGGGGACAGCGTAAACTTCCGGAGACATGAAGTCGGCAGCACCTTGGGAATGTGCCGAGTTAATTCTCGTCATACCGAATGCGCCGCTGAGCGACTGGTTGTCAAAAGAGCTGTTCTCCCTCGTAAGAGGCATGGTCTCGGCAGCCGATGTGCCAGAGCTCATGGACGGGCAAACCGAGTTGATGAGGCTGGCCTGTGAATTCCGGCCATCGTAGGGCGTCAGGAAGTTCTGCGGCGGCGGGACCATGGCTGGAGATGGTATGCTCTCGTCTTGCGCAGCGAGGAAGTCGAGAGGGTTCATGCCGACCTCTGGGAAACCTGCGTTCTCTTCGACAGGCGAGAGACCCGAGTGGCGTTTATTTGTTGGCGATCGCTGAAGGGAGGACTCGAATAGGACATGAGGGTCATCTTGGCTCTGATAGAAGCGGTCCATCATGGGATTGGGGTTATTTGACGTCTGGAGGGGCTGTAGAGGGCCCTTGACGACGAAAGGGATAGACTTTTCTGATCTGTTGGAAGCACTTCTAGACATGCCCGTCATGGGCGTGGCGCGGGGGTGCTGCTGGGACATGACCCTCGCGCGCTTTACGGGATGGGGCGAGTCATCACTTGTGCGCTCCTGGAAGAGATTGTTAGCACACGGACACCTGATTCACGATGGTCACGAGCAGTGAAGATGGTGATGGGAGCTGTGGTGATGCATTACCATCATTCTTGTGGGTTGGGCAGCGTAGCCCATGTTGGACTTGCTTCTGGGTATTGTGGCCCTGCGGTTGAGCAGAGGAGCAGCATTGGGCTGTTGGTGTTGTGTGAAGGCGGCGGCGTCTACATGGTAGTCCCCTTGTGATTGGAGCAGGTTGAAATTGCTCTGGGCAGCTTGCGGTGCTACTGATGCATTTTGCTGAAGAAGAAGGTTTTGGAGATTTGCCAGCTCTTGTTGCTTCTGTTGCATCTGCCTCTGAATCTCCTGGACGTTATTGTAAGGATGGTTCATGTTGGCTCAAGTTGGCGGAGAACAGCGGGGTGATGGGCGTAGCAGCTAGGGTGGGTTGGGTATGGTGAGGAAGAGTGAAGCGTGTCGGGCTACCACTCGGTTGAGGAATTCAAGGCCGTCCGAGTCAAGACGGAGGGATAGAGTGTGGTGTTAGACGTCGGTAGTAGACGAGGTGTGATGTGACACGATGTTGCTGCAGCCTCGTTCTTCTTTCTCCAACGCATTCAAGGTCTCCCGAGTGACGAACTTGTGGAAACCGGGCGGGAAAGATTAATTGTTTTCCTAGGAGCGAGACAAGCAAGACAAAACGCTGTTGTTTGGTTCTTGGTCTTGTCTTTCTATGGAGTATGGCTGGTGCTGCGCGGCGAAACAATAAGACCCAGCGGGAGTCAAGATTTGTTTCCTGGTATTCGAGACTCTTTTGGTGGATTGTTGGGGGGGTCTCGAAGATTTGTGCGAGCAGCAGGATTCAAGGTTGACTTGTCTTGAAGTTTGGCGAGGCGGGTTGAGGCGAGTTGATGTTCGATGGTACAGGGAAGTCTGTGGCTTCGAATAGGAAGACGATCGCAGGAGAATTCGGGAAGGCGGACGGCGAGAGGCCAGTGGTTTAAAGAAGTCGACAGGATCAGCAGCGCAACGAATGTCCAGTCATGGAAGTGAGGCTTTGCGGCGTCTCCACAGCGAGCTGGTAATGTCGGTGGAACAGGCAAGACAGAGCACGCTAGACGAGCAGGGATGGAGGATGGAGATGGATGTGAGGGTGGATGAATGATGGTGGATGGGAAGGGGAGGGGAGGGGGGTGCGAGGATGTTGGTGTGTGGGTGGTCGTGGTGGGTGGTGGACGTGCGTTGCGTGTGTGTTGCGATGATGATGTGGTGGTGTGCGGGATGGATGGAAGGATGGGGGTGTGGGTGTTTCTGTCCAGTGTCTTTTTGGGAAAACTGTGAGATGGTTTGGATTGGCCGAGGATTAAGCAGCATTGGGGTTGGATGGAGGGTGTGATTGAGACTGACGAGTGAGAGTGAGAGTGAGAGTGAGAGACCGAAAAGAGTGAATTTGAGAGTGAGACTGAGAGCAAAGTACAAGTGAGTGAGTAGTGGTGGTGATGATGATGATAATGATGAGCTGGCAGTCAAGAAACAGCCGCCACTAACAAACACGAGGCAAAACACAATGACATTCACTGCTCTTTCGGTATTGCAAATGTTACTGCAGTTCCATCAATGTTACAATGGAATACATAGGTAATTGCGCTGCTCCTCTGCTGCTGGGCTGCTATTCTGCCCGGCGGTCAAAGGTGCGGTGAGAAGAAAACGACTGGAAGGGGGGTGTGGGACGAGCGGTGGGAGGGACGATCAAGACCACGAGTGGTTGATCACCGCCGGCACGACCAAGGATGAGGGGACGACGAGAAATGGAACTCTCGACAGCACAGCACGCTGGAGGAAGACCAGCCAGCAGTGTACCGTCGGTATCCATACGAATATCCGTAGCATGGCAGAAAAGAGAGAGTAGGGGAAATACGTGGTCGGCATCGCAATTGGCGGCACAGGGCCGGCAAAGAACGAATGGAAGCGAGGAAAGAAGGTTAAAGTGGGTGCAGCCGCCCGCCCGTGGCCCCTCTTACTCTCACTCTCACGCCGGCCTCTCACTCCGCCTCTGGGTCTTTCCGTCCCCTCAGACTTCAGTGGGCTTGGAATGAGCTCAGTAGCGTGCCTCAGTGAGAGCATCACTCTCACTCTCACTCTGAATGATAACACGTGGACCACTTTACAGATGAAAAGCTGCTTTGCGACTGGATGGAAATTCATACAATTGCATTCACTCCCCAGGGGAACTGAGAGCCGTTTGTCTCCACTGAGCAAGTAGAAAGAGAATAAAAGGCGTAGTGTAAAGGTAAACACGCAATATGAAAAAGGGCTGACTGGGATCTGCCCGTCAACACATCCGGCCGAACGAAGCGTCGTCGCACACGGCGTTTCCAGTTTCTCCCCAATCTGTCTGTGGCTCTCTCTCTCACTCAACACCCCCAGCGGCTCCTGAGAACGTGCCTCCCTCCAACCGCATCTCGGCTTCGGTGACGACTTGTCCCAGTTTCCAGTGGTATTTTTGGGAGGTGTGGGTGTAAGTGCTGGTCACCAGGGGGCGTGTGGGCACCGAACACGTCTGCTAGCGCGTGTGAGGCAGGGGTATGACGCCTAATCATCTCTCCTCTCATTGATGCTCGCCGAGTCACTCTCACTCTCAATCAGGTCTCTCTCACTATGGCTAGTGGTCACTCACTCTGGGTATCTCCATCTCCATCACGTTCTCTGGCATTCCCTATTCTGATACCGAGGGATAGGTAGAGAGAATTGAACTGGGCAGCAACCTTCTCCAACTCTTTGCCCGGCTGGCTGCCGTCCAGCTTACCCACGGACCTCTCCTGCTCACTCCTCCCACGCGGAACACAACATTGGAATATACCACCCTCATTCTAAGCTACGAGGATGAGCAAGATGAAGTCGTATTCAGCAACTCCCAGTTAGGCACTCTTCATCTTGAATCTTGTCCGTATCGAGACTGGCCCTGAACCCACGGCTCAGGAACCTTG